ATTAAAACAAGCTTGGAAGGAGGAGTGGCATCCACTTCCATAATAGCTTGCCTCCAGAAACCCTATGAACCTGGAGAGAGGATGAGAGGCACCCAAGCATCGAGGACTCTCCTTCATACGGTCCTATGAGTCGCTTGAGACTCGACGACACTGAACAACAACAACAGTGTGTAGAGTTTCATGAATGTGGGACAGTGATTGTTTCCTTGATGAATTTAAATCATCATTCTGATAATGACTTCTCTTCATGTTGAAATTGTTTTGTCAAAGGTATAAGGGATTAGAGTTGAATGTGGATTGATCCCAAAATATACACGGGGAGGATCTTCTTGTTTATCTTGTTTTTAAAAGTGATCCGTTACGGAAGCTTGCATCCTGTCACTTCTTCACATACAATATCGTGTAGTGAGTTTTCCGTTACCTGATATTTCGTATGTCAGTAATTTCACACAAATTTGAGTATCTTCCGACTTTCCAAGTCCACGAAGGCTAATATTCTATAGCAAAGCAGTTGTTTTTAGATGCCATCAAATCCACTGCAATTCATGACAACACTATGAACAATAGATCAGGACTTGCCCTGTCCTCCACCTCCTCATGATTTGTGTAATTCTTGTCGTAGTCACAGTATTAGTCCATTTTATGGAAAGCCTTCCTCTATTTCTCTTACCCTTTACTTTCCCCAGCATGTAATGTAGCTGCATAATCCATCGTCTGGAAGAAAACAAGGAATAAGAAAACTCTTACACACACACACTATTCACTATTTACACTAGTTGTTTTACATTTTGAAATTGGACCCAGATTCATCTCCAAAATATACATTAAGTTTCAGTTCCTTGGGGATTTTGCTGGCATTGTTTTTGACAGTTTAGCATCCTAGATGTGGTAAGAATAATTATGAAATATTGGTAAAACAAGTAGGTAAATGTTAGATAAACAAACCATAGTTTCTATTAAAGTTTTTCAAAAAGAGCATGAAATTCCCAATTCTTTTAGGTTTTGAGGTATTGAAACTTGAACTCCTACAGTTGAATCTTTTGGGGTTTTTGCCAGCGTCTTTGGATCCCATCTTTTTAAGGTCATAAAAACTTTCTCAGAACTTCTGTTTTGCCACCCACTCCCTCCAGGAGCCTATTCATGGCCTGCGTTTGATGCCAGTAGCCCTGGCATCACTCTGTAGCTAGCTGGGCGTCAGTAGTCCCGTAATTTCTTGGTTCACCTCCCCTAACTCCTTGACCCCTGTTGTGGCTACTTTACATGGCCATCCTGTACTTCATTGTGTCTGCCACTGTGAGAGACAGAGTAGCTCCATGTAGCTCCATGATCTAGGCAGTGCAGTTTTGAGGGCCTGCTTGGAAGAAACGATACAGGAGATGGACTTGAGTTCCCAGAGAAAAGTTACCAGATTGTTTCCTAACAAAAGATGCAGCATGACTGTATCCTTCCTACTCTTAGCAACTATAACATCAGTAGTCATAGACTCTGCCTCTTCTGCCAGCCTCTGTGCTTGAAAGCTGAGCAGCACAGCTTGTAGACTACATGTTAGTCCTCCATGGAATGGACATTGATCACTGAGAACTGACTCTACATAGGAACTGGCATAGCAATGGCTCTCCTTTCTTACACTGTCTCCATGGTTGGTCCTAAGACATCTGATACCACACAGCCTGTCACGAAAATGTTGTATAACCAAGGAACTGACCAAGTTCACTTGAGGCCAGTTTGGTGCAAACACTGTATTTACCTCCCCTCCTTTTCTGATTTAGTTCTCTTTTGCGTTCACTCTCGCCATCCTGGAATTGCACCATTTTAGCATAAAACCTTTGCTTTAAGGTCTGTTTTCTAGGACATCTATGCTAAAACAGAGGCTGGCAACTAAATTTCTCCATGTATACAGTGGACTTCCTTTTCAAGTATGAGCACCTGGCTAAAGTTGAGGAGGAAAATATTCCTGAGTATCTGCCAAAAAGCAGGAGAGAAGGAAATCTTTCATCACGCAGATGGCTGAGACAGACAGCCTCTCCGAGCTTTTCTAAATCTAAGACTCTGTTTCTGTAAAACACTGTGGGGAAAAAATCTCCTAATTGCCCGGACACATGCTAGAATTGAGTTTGGGATTTGTATGAAATATCTTCAATGAGCATTATTCAGCACAAAAGACATGCTGGGGAAAGAACTTCTTGTGGAAATAGAGGAAAACATTGTTTTGCTGGAAACCCCAACATAATCCATTTGAAAAAGCTCTGAATTCTCTACAAAAGAAAAATAAGCCAAGTAAAAAAGATTTTTTTCCTTTGCCCTGTGGCTATACATACTCCCTTTGGGAGTTGTTATGGATTATGACATTTTATCATGTACTCCTCAACAAAGTATGTATTGTTCTTTTCCCTTTTATTCAATCCTGGCAGAGTTCCAGAATGAGTTATCATGTTCTGAGTACATTAATTTGCTGGTGTAAATTTGCATTTCTACCTCTGCTTCTTTATTGGCTATGTTAGTGTCATTCTGCGCAGTCAGCTTGGAGCTGATGCATAGCTGACCTACAGCAGGTTTTCAGAGACTGTAAATCTCACAGGAGATTGCCCTTCCTTCTCCTAAGGAGAAGTTGGCAGGTTTGAACTGCCTGCCTTTAGGTTGACAGCACAACTCTTTACCACTGGTCCACCTGAGCTCCCTCCATTAGCTCTAACTAATTGTCATTTTGTGTTGTATATTTGTCAACGACTAACCCCCTACATGGAGGAAGAAGCTGCCAAGGGGACAACCAGGGTTTTCTCAGCATAGCAGTGGCAGGAGCCAAAGTTTGGGGGGGTGATGATTATTTGAGTAATTCTGAGAGCATCCTTGCACTCCTGCAGGGTGGAGACTGCGGCGAAGGAGTACAAGTCCGAAGCCTTTCCTGCGTGGTCCATAATGGCTCAATGACATACACACCTATGCACGTAGATGACGCACTGTGTGGGGAAGTGCCCTTTCAAGACTACATCCTGAAGCAGTTCTGCTCTGTGCCCTGCCCAGGTAGGCAGATCTAACAATTGAGAATGCCTTGTATGTGTCCCTCCTTGTTTCTCCCACCTCATAATATCTTTGTTCTGGAGAAGCTCTATCCCATCACACCTGAAGTTCTGCATAAACTGTGACTCATGTGTAATTGTAGTGATCACTCTGAAAGGTACCTGCTTCTTCAGGGGAGGCAGAGTATGCAAGAGAAAAAGCAGCACTGAATTTAGAAACCATAGACCTAAATTAGAATGTTGTCTCTAACACTCCACTGGTGTTCTAATTGGGGCGTACAGTCTAGCTCCACTGAGCAATGGCAGCCCCCACACACTGATTAGGACTCAAAAAAATGTTGGTTGAATCTATGGGTGAACGGATACATGAATAACAGCTTATGTGCAGGAAGGAAGGTCACAGATTTGGAATAACACTCAAATAGGAAAGTTGTCTATAAATGTGAAAATCACATAATATGCATGAATTTTTGTTGTGAATTTTAAAACAAATTGATGTAGGTTTAATGTGGCTGTGCTATGTGTGTACACACACACACAGACACACACACTAAAATATAAATACAAAGACAAATAAATTTGCCTATGTTTACATATTTACACATGTGTGTATGTACTTAGAGTATTAAATAGTCTCTAGACCAGAAGATAGAGTGATCTACATACTCTTTTTATGTAATTTCTATGAACATCTATTTTACAGTGCTATCATGCTGAGTTACTATAATATTTACCTCTCTCTTTAAACACTTTATTGTTGCTGGCAGCCACATGGCATTCTCTAGATATTACTAAAATCTAAGTCTAGTGTTGGTACAATCTTTTTAAAGTAGACTAAACCATAAATTTGAAAGTAGATTAACTATAAAACCATAAGCCAGTCTTTTTAAAGTACTCTGAACCTGCAGCTCTGATGGGCTAGTGGTAAGAAACTGCACTGCTATCTCAAAGACACGCAGTTCTAATCCAAGGGGAAAGAGTGCGCAACCTCCTCCCATGAAATTTACTGCCTCTGAAAACCCACTGGAGGTTCAGCTCTGGGTCGGGTCCCACTGAAAGTACGCATATCATCACCATGACCACAAACCCCGGTGTGAATTCTATTTGTTTAAATGATGCTAAATCCTAATTTTCCTGTTGTTTCCCCTCCCATTGCTGCAATCCATTCAGGAGACTGCCATTTAACCCAGTGGTCAGAGTGGAGCCCATGTGAACTAACCTGCATCGACGGAAGAAGCTTTGAGACTATGGGTCGTCAGACTAGGTCACGGACATTTATAATTCAGTCTTTTGAGAACCAAGACAGCTGCCCCCAGCAGGCCCTAGAAACACGCCCTTGTACAGGTACCAAGAGCATTTTTCAAGTTTTCCCCCAGCTACTGGATTAGTGCTTGTTCTGTTTTAATGTGCGATGTGATAGAAGTGCTGTTTTGTTATTCACTTACTTTCAGGAGGCAAGTGCTATCACTACACGTGGAAAACAGGTCTTTGGAACAATAATGAGCGAACTGTGTGGTGCCAACGCTCAGATGGTGTTAACGTCACAGGTATGTGCCTCTGTAAGACTCACGCAGCCACTTCAGAACATCTTCTGAGTGTTGCTGTTTGTGAAAATTAGCTTATAAATTATAAACAAAGGTTGAGCAGGCAGGTGGTTTGAGATAATCTTCCTCACTAACTGAATAAACCTTTTCATCTTGGAAAGCAAACAATTTTAAAGATCCATAATATCTCAGACAAGTTAAAGAAATTGACCCAAACACCAATTTCTTCAACTCATTATATTCCTACACTACCATGTGGTCTAGTGTCTAGGGAGTTGCACTGCCATCCCAAAGGCAGATGGTTCAAATCCACCAAGTGCTTTGAAGGAGAAAAATGGGAAAACTCCTTCCATAGAATTTCAGTCTCTGAAAACTAACTGCAGGGTCAGTTATGATGAGGTGGTTCTGAGTCAATGACAATTATAGATAAATGATGAGATAGATTGATAGATAGATAAAATAGTTATTCTTGTTTGTTTTCACTGTGCATAGATACAAATTTAAATTAACTCCTATAAACATTCACCTAAGTCACAAAACAAAATTTTAAAATTAAAAGGGTTAATAACTTTAAAAAAATTAAAATAATAGCATATATGCTAACAGTGAAAAACCTTTTTGCTGTAGATTTTAGAGGTTTGCCCTCTCTGACTGGAAGCTTACTTAATTGAGTATTTTGTAACCATGATTATAACTTACTATCCAGACACATAATGTAGACCTAGGGAAAAGTTCTTTATTTATGGCACTGAATATTATTTCATTGAATAAATGGTCTAAGAATATTGGAGTGTTTGCATGCCTTATCAGCACAGATTTGCTGTCCTTGTTTTTACGTAGTGCTGTGGCTGATAAAGAGATTATCCTAGAGATGGAAGAATTGCCTCTAAGAATAAAAGCTTCAACAAGGCTGCCTTATCCTGTTCCTTCATTATTAATAGCCCCTTTAAATCATTTACAGGAATCTTTTTTAGCTCTTTACCCATTTTGTAAGTTGTTATTGTTAACCCTTGAGGGCCTGGAAATTCACCTTCACAGAAACACAGAAAGCGTGCTCCTCCACACTGTATGGAGAGGAAGCTGGCTGGTTCCAGGGCCACTTCTCTGCATGAACCCTTCCCCCAGGGTACAGCTTGCATTCAGATGTTAGCTAATGACTATCATCTTCTGATGTTGAGCTCAGGTCATCCATAATAGTATCTTATAAATACTATTAAAACTAACCTTTTTCTTAACAGTGTAAACAAAATTATTTCTACCCGGTTCCCAAGACAGCCTCCCAGTCCCAGAGGTATACAATAGTTTAAGGAATGCTACCTTAAAGGATCAGCAGCTCTGCTGGTACAGACCACAGTGAGCTGTGCTGCTTGCCCAAGGGCTGTGTGTTTCTCAAGTTTTGAGGTTCAAATTCGCCAGGTGAACAATCTCCTCCAGTTACGATTTACAGACCCAGAATCCTGACAGGAGGTTTCTGTGTCTCAGACATGACTGACAACAGGAGTTAAAGAAAGGGAGCCACCCTTGAGAAAGTCATTTGTGATGAGACTTCTGTGTAACTGTTGACACGAACACCCATATTACTAATTTCCCACCTCAGTGCTAATCCTGGAGTGTGGGTTTTATCTGGACAGGTTATTTTCTTTTTTAAAGGACAGTGAAAATGTAGCTATTTCATTCCACAGAGAATGCTGGTCTGCCTGCCTTCTACATTGCCTTTGGAACAAAGCTTTTCCTGGCTCCAAATATACAAAGTATGACTGGCTGATAATTTCCATAATGTACATGATATTGATCTGTTAATGTAACCAATTTTATATAAATAGAATTTAAGTATTGTCCTCCCATGCTGAGTCAAGTTCTTGGCCTAATACTTTCTAGGCTATTTCCCTTTTCTCTAGAATTTCAAATCCAGAAAGACAAAACTAGTATTTAAATTATTTTCCAATTATAGGGGCACATATCTCCCCCTCTCTTTGTAATAAATAAATACAAAATATTTATGTAGCACTTACTAAACGTGCCCTTTCAGATATGCAGTTGCGTCTCCAATATGATCATTATTAAAAATTGATGTGTACCTTTATGTGTGTTTGGCTTACATGTATTAAGAATGTTATCAGCATTCAACCGTTCTGATGGCATAATCCCATGAATGACTGATGGCTATATATTTTGACAATATATTTTGACATTTGATTATTGGACTTAGCTCTAGTGACTAAATGAGCTTTTCAGGAATTAAAGGAATTAATTTAAAAATACACACCAAATAGGGATTCAAATGGTAATTTTATACTCCACAACTTAAACTGAGCTTCTCTCATCTCTTTTACTGAGCCTGTCTTTCATACACTATGCCCCCAAGGTTCTGACTTGATGGTACATAACAACATACTATACCCTCAGGTAGGGCTATAAAATAGCAATTAATTTCTAATTGAGAAGTTACAAATATTCTTCTCTGATAACCCTTTGAAGAACCTGCCATCCCCAAAAATTCATCTGAGGGTAAGCAGTGAAGTGGTATTAGACCATAACTGGTAGTATGGAATTTTTAAAAGAATACAATTGAAATGCTGGCCAGTATCAATAAAAAAGAAAAAGCAAAAATTTAAAAATATCTTTCCTAGAAAAATCTGCAACTTATAATGGCCTTTCCTTTCAGGAGGCTGCTCCCCCCAGGCCCGTCCCGCTGCTATTCGGCAGTGTAACCCAGCCTGCAGAAAGCCCTTCTCCTATTGCACGCAGGTGAGTCCTGTGGAGGCTGCTTCGCATACTCTGACCCTGTGTTACATGTGCACTGGCTGTGTTCTGTGTGGCTGGCTGTGTTATCCATGTGCTGTGTTACACATGTGGCTGTCTGGGTTAGACGTGCGCTGTCTTTGTTATGTGTGTTCTCTGTCATGCATGCCCTATCTGACAACACATGTGCTGCTTGTGTTACACATGTGGCTATCTGTGTTATGTGTGTGCTGTCTGTTATGTGTGTGCTCTCTGTGTTACACGTGCGCTGGCTGTGTTACACATGTGCTTTCTGTGTTACCCTGTGGCTGTCTGTGTTACACGGGTGGCTGTCTGTTTCATGTGTGTGCTGTCTGTGTTACCCTGTGGCTGTCTGTGTCACACATGTACTGTCTGTGTCACACATGTACTGTCATCTGTGTTTCCTGTATTCTGTCGGATGCTCTTCTGTAATCTGCTATCACCCAAGGAGCAATTCTGTGTGCTCATGGTACCATCTAGAGGCATCTGTAGGAGAAATCACAGCTATTAAAAATTCCTTTTGGGGACTAAGTGTTCAGGAAGGTGGTCTTTTTACCCTTAAGTTTGTCAGTAGCTAAATCTTCCTTCCAGATGTATAATTTATATTACATTTATTTATTAATATGTGTTCTCAGCTGACTAATTTTTTCCCTTAGGAAAGTTTTTAGACTTCCATAAACCTAAACTAAGTTGAAAGACATTAATAAGTACACATTCATATTTACTAGATGTAGTTTAGTAAATTTGATTACACTAGGATTACTAGGGTTTACCTTAAAAGAGTTTAAAGAAGGGCAAAAAGGAGAGGAGAGAAGGGGAAAAGACTGTCTTTTTTATAACTGGAACAAGCTATTTGGCTTCTGAGGCAGGATAAAGCCGATGTCCATCAGACCCCATCTCCAAGACCTGAGGTTTGAGTGTGCTCACTCACAGCAGTCACCTGGATCCAAAGAAGTGGAAGTGGAAGGACCACAACAATGAAGAAACAGGCTGAGCATGGACATGCTCCTTCAGTGCTACCCACCTGGCACTCACAAATGTGTGGACGAGTAGAGAAGCAGGAAGCTGGGAGGACCCCTGGCCTGTTGACCCAACTTGGGACAAGGGCTGAGTGAGGAGACCAGCAGGTCTGGATCACAGGGAGGAGTATAGACTCCTGAGCTGGAAGCGAATGCCTCTCTGAACCTCGCCACAGAAGGCTGGGGATGAGTTCACCAGTACCAGCCCGAGAAAGTGAAGATGATCCTTGCTGGGAACTAGAGTTGATTGCTGCCACCACCTGGTGGCTTTCTCTGGACTGGACTTCGCTTGTTTGTGCAGATGCTCAAAGTTTCCCAGTTGAACAGAGGATGCCTCAGCAGAATGGGTCGTACTTACTTCCTCAGAGTTCTGGTTTGATAGGGATGCGCGGATCAGCAATTGACTTTCTGAAACAGGACTATTAGAGCAGGAGGCATGACGTACCTGGCTTACACACTTTGACAAAAGCAGTTGTTGGTATGACTGTAAGGGAGGAAATAGAAATTAATGATATAAATGAATGAAGTAGAAGGTAAATTAAAGTCTGTACGGAACACAATATACATGAATGATAAAATAATAATAATAAAAATATATTTTAATATGTGGTTTATATTAGTGTGCTTAGATAGATGATTGTTGTTGTTGTTGTTATGTGCCATTGAGTCGTTTGTGATTCATAGCGACCCTATGTACAACAGCCCTAAATCCTACTCTATCCTGTGCCAATCTCATTGCCTCTGACACACCCATCCTGATTACCCCAGTCACTGAATCAATCCACCTCATAGAGGGTCTTCCCCTCCTGTGCTGTCCCTCTACACAACCCAGCCTGATGTCCCTCTCTAAAGACCTGTCTCTCCTTACAACATATCCAAAGTATGTCAGACGAAGCCCCAGAATCCTTGCCTCCAAGGAGAAGCCTGCTTTAACCCTCTCTACGATGAATCTGTTTGTTTTCTTGGCAGTCGATGGTACATTCAATATTCTTCTCCAGTACCACAGCTCAAAGGCGTCAATTCTGCTTCTATCCTTCCCAGTCATTCTCCAACTCTCTGATGCATAATAAGTGATTGCAAAAACCATGGCCTGTATCAGGCGCACCTTAGTCTCCAGAGAGACAC